CTATACATTTTGACAATAGAGCACCATTTTAGAGCACCAAAATAGTCAATTTATTTGAATCGTATAAAAGAATTCAAAGTCATATTTAAAAAATTGCGAATTTTATACGCAAAATAAAAACATAGAAAATTATATGTTTCCACTAAAAAAAATTGCAGTTGTATTTTGTAAATGCATCAATACACAAAAATGCATAAGAGCATAGGAATGTAGAACAAGAATATATAGTGTGTTTGATCTGAGTGGAACTCAAATGGAAACTCAAGCAACAACATTAAATACACATAAATACGCATAAATATGAAAAAATATTTCAGGCAAAAGTTGTATGGTATCAAACAGGATATACTTTACTTTTATTTATTTCACCTCGACCGTGAAATGTTCTGTGAAAGTCACCTTAAAATTTTTAAATTACATATCTTTATTTTCTATAATACATATTTTTGTAGCTGACATTTAGATGAAGATTTGAAGACTACAAATTTGTTTTCTCTCAAGATTTCCGAATATTTATTGTTTGCTTAATTTTCTACTTATCTTATCTTTAATTTATCTTTTATCTATGGATACAACTAACTAAGACCATTTGAATTTAGAAAAATTATCTACGAAAATATAACAGTAAACTTTTCCCGTTACCATTCATAGTCAATATGCTAAGTGCTAAGTACTTTAACTCCTCTTCGGCAATAACATCAATTCGCCTTTCTTTTTACTGGATTTCTTTTCAGGGATGATATATGTATGTATAAAATGCAAATTTTAAAAACAGCTTCAGAGACTTAGAAATAACCATTTTCGTACGTATTTCATATTCCTGTCTATAAATAATTCAGTATGACAATTAATTATTCAATTATCTTTTTCCTTCATCAGCATATTATTTTGAATGATGAATGAAGAATAATCTAATCGCGTATATAATTATATTCGTTATAACGTATCAGGTTAGTGATTACATGTTTGAGATGTATTCCGCTTCAATGTTCTATATTCTATAGTATACTATACATTATACAATATTTGAATTCTTTCAAAATTAACGTCTAAAGCGATAAAAGTCTCTTTTCATCAATATTTTCTTAAATATTTCACAATCTGCGAATTCATATCTAATAAATAAACACTATTCGCAACATTAAACGCAATTTCTTGAATAAATAGACATGCACATTAGTTAATTATATCGCTAGAAAGTTTAGATCTATATTTTCATAGACATTTTTTCGGCATGAATCAGTTTTTTACTGTAATAATATTATATACCGGATGAAATCCATCCTCTTCCTCATTCTTCGCGCAATCGTATATATGTAAGATAGATTTCGCAGATAAAATTAACTGTGTTTTCAAATGCTTCTCTTTGTTCATTGCCCTACATAAATGTTCTTTTTTGATATAACCGAATAGTTCAACGTAATTATGTGCAAATTAGGATGTTATGTGAAATACGGATGTATGTGCCAAAAGACGTTTCAAACGTATTTCAAGAAAATCATATTTCCTTTGACTGATCCAAAAACTTCCTTTGACTTATAACTTATTATTAGAGAATCACAACATTGATAAAAGTCGTATAAAATAATAATTTGCACAAACTACATTTTATAATTCTATAGTACATATAAAAACGATTATTTTACTTTTAGTAAAAAAAATTATATAGTTTTTAAAAAATGATTTTGAATATCATTTTTCGAATATTACGTTTCCTCATTACATCGTGTATTGAAAATAATTACATATAATTATAATTCGGAAATTTTGCTCCATATAGTTAAATCATAACAAACTCATGTGCCTTTTCCCTAATCTTACTCTTTGTTAATTCCAATAACGGAATAAATGGAGATAGTTTAGTTAATTCAAAAACGATATTGGCTTGTTATATGAAACTACTAATTTGTCTTTATTGTCGTCAAAGAATTCAGGTAACAATTCTAAAAAGTTGTAAAATTGAAATTGAAGCAGATCGTGTGTATCTTTAATTGTCATTATAGATGATAAATATGATAAGACTATCAGAATTTGCACGAATACAGTTCTACTGGCAAAAAATAAAGATATTAAGAGGTAAAAAAAAAAAGCACCAAAGATGAATCTTAAATCGTGAATCTCAGAAAAGTTTCCAATGATATCACAGACAAACAATCAAGCCGAAAAGATTATCCAATTCAAGATTGCCAATCTCTGATTGATCACAACTTTTGAATACATTTCGATAACAAATTCTCCAATAAAGCTTCGGCTATCGTAACGCATCATTTCAATCAGCTTTGAAAATATCAGTCTTCATTCGAAGACAATTTTCTAGATTTCCTACAGAAAGACAAACTTTAGCAATTCTAGACAACGGATTACGGAATGTATCAAATTGAATGTAGTTTTCGACAAGTAGTTGAGCAAAAAATTAATCAACGATTAACGATTAGATTTTTCTAATAATCTTTAATCACAATTAATGATTATATTTCAATTTTAGTTGTTAATTATAAATAACGATTTTCTAACGAAATTCTTACTTTAGTCGTTAACTGCGACAAACGATTAAGCATCTTACAATCGTTAAGGATTGCAATTAAAAATTAAATTCTTATTTAATCGTCAATTGTTACTAACAATTAGTAGAAACTTAATTAATTTTAACCATCAGTTATCTTATTAACCTAATTGCTGAAATTCTTTTTATAGTGAAATTAGTAAAAATTTCGTATTTCCTTGTCGCAGAGTTGAGACAATACAATACAGTGATTGTTGTCCAAACATTGATTAAATTAAATCAGTTGATGATTTTTCGATGATTTTCCGACATGAACACGAAATTTTCATTCGATGAAAGACAGACAAAATAGAAAACGAATTTGAATACAAAAAATTTAAAAATTTATAGGAATTATAAAGTAAATATAGGAAAGATTTTACTCATTTAAAAAAAATAAATATCAATGTATATCAGAGACAGATTTATATTTACATATCAGAAACAAAGACATTAATTTTCAAATTGTTCATTAATAAAATTTAAATAAATGTCGTGCGAATTTGCCCTAGCGAATTGCCCGACATTGAGCCTCCATAAAGCTGAAATTTCTTGTTCGTCATAATTTTTATTTGCTCTCGTAAATTTGACGGTATGACTGAGTTTTTGTAAGAACAATACGACCGAGTCTTTGGAAGAATACGTTCAGTTATCTTTAAACAGGCGGTTTATCCTTAGTGCAGAGAAGATCTGATAAGATAAGATAAGAGATAACAACCTTTACGGAATCTATCCGGAAAGAACTTTGATGGTGCTCTATTTCAAATATCGCTATATATAATTTTATTAATTTCATTAATTCTCGTTAATTTCTAGTTTGTGAATTGTAATAGTCCGTGCAAATAAAATCTCTCATAAATGTTGTTTTCTTTTTAAAAATTTGTACATTATTCTTGTCTGTCGACGAAACAATAGGTGATCATTTTTAACACAACTTCATACCAAAATATTTAATATTTAACGTCAATCTAATATCAAAGTATTTTTATACTTTTACATTTACTTTATATTTATATCAAAAGGGTTTCTTTCAGTTTTTTATAATTATTTCAAAACATCAAAATTGTTATCACAATCATTTGTAACTTTTGCAGACAAATTTCAAATAATTTATTGGAAAATAAATTACATTTTTTGTTTCTTCTTTAAAATACTTTTTATTATTGTAAAAATTTAAGTAACTCAAAAAATGATAAATAATAAATAACATGTAGTTATATTAAAATAAGAGAATTCATTCAATTGAAAGTTTACATATTTCATTCAATTAAAAGTTTACATTTTTATATTTTGAGAAGATAACAATAAATGATTTCATACACTATAGACATGTATACTATAGACATGTATACACTGTATACATTAAATTACGAAACTTTGAATACACATTATGTAGAAGTTATATTACAAGTATTTATATTTCAAGTAATTTTTCAATGAATAATTTTTTAAAATATTATAAATTTTTCATATATTTATTTTTTTTTTTTTTTTTTGTATTACTATGTAATACACATTCCATGAATTTAATTTGTGTGTGTACATATACAATTTTATATTGCATGCAAAATAAATGAATTAATTCTTACAGTAATTACAATACCTATTTGTACATATACGAATGCATACATGCACACACAAATTATTAATAACATTAATAAATCTCATGTTTATAATCACAAGATTATAATATATCATATTTTTTTAACAAATTTTAACTTGTTTTTTTTTAAATGAAAAATGTCATATTTTAAAATAAATTTTTGTCAAATTTATTTTAGTTCTATAATATTAATTGAAATGTTGAAATTAATTTAATTCTATAATATTAAAGTTGATTATTGAATTGAATTATTATTTCGTTATACGTTTAAAATTCTTGGATTCAAACATATTTAAATTCATTTTTCTTGTTGTTACATTATTTTTAAACTAACATAATACATTTACTTTTTTTCAAATTAATGTTTCATTATTCATAAAAACATTAAAATAAAAATAATTAAATACTTTAATTTATCACCTATTTCGTTATTGTTGTAGTAATATTTGTTAGAAAAAATACGAAATTTATGCATCGCAAAGAAAAAATTAATAAATGCTAATAATTTATAAATATTTCTAAAATTAAAATTTTCACGACAAAAGATAGCATTTTTGCACTTATGTTTTTAATAAAAAAAAAAACTAATTAAAATGCATAAACTGTGAATAATATCAGATATCAGATATTATTTCTTTATAAACTCGTGTTTTATACAAATAGCTACTTTCAAATCTGCTGTTTCTCATTTTCTAACCTGTAAAATTTCAATTTAATTTTTTGTAACTACTTTGGACAGAAAATAAAATTATTATTGACTTGTCACATAAAATACAATGTATTAATAGCTTAATATATACAACATTTGTTATTATAATTTTTAAGCCTTTCATTAAAGAAAATTATTAAAATAATAGAAAGAATTAATAACTGACATTTAAGAAACAGACTATATTTTATCATTTAATTATTGTTGAAATATATAAGAGAATAAAGTAAAACTAATCTTAAAAAAATTAATTATCATAATTATTTTGGCATCTTTGCTTTCATTTTATTATTTCTATAAATCCTTTATAAGTTTTACTTTGTAAATATGTACAAATTTGTTAATATTTTCTGTGCATTTCATTAATATTTTCTACGACTTTTACATATTTAGATTTAATTATAACATACATAAAATAAACAAAACATATTTGATTAAAAATAATATGAAGATTTTTTATAAAAATTTAACCCTTTGCGGACGAATATTGCCGACATATTGTCTATGGCGACATTATGATTTTATTTTTTAGCACAGTTAAATGCTGCTGTTCCGGTAACAATAAAAGTACAAATTGAGCATCTCAAGAATATACTATACTTCAAAAGAATATGAAAATTAAATTATATTCTAAGATGTAGTGTATCGAATTACTGCCAATAAGATGCGTATTCTTCTGCATCCCTAATATTTAAGTCTTCAATCTCGTTTCATATACAAAATATCCTTGACTTGCTAGGAATAATAGTGAAGAAAGTAATCGTTCGTAAAGGGTTAATACAAACGTTTTTCATTAATTTAAAAAAATTCTTTCATTTAATAATTTTATCTTGTTATTGAAAACAAGATAAATAAAGCCATTAAAACTTTGTACTACTATACTAAATTTGTCTTTATCACTTTATACGCAGTGACATATATGTTTAATAAGATATATTTCTAATTATTCTTGACCAAAACCTTCTGTTTCTTCAATTGCATAGTTTAACTTTTCTACTAGTTGATCATAGCTCTTATATGGTGGTAGATCCAATCTATTGAAGCATGTATGTGACCTAGGTAGCCATGTATCTTTTCCTACTTTTTCTATGCAAAATCTTTGAGGACCGTTGCTTCCTAAATAGAAAAAAATAAAAAACAAAAATAAAAAAGATAATGAAAACTAATCGCAAATATAAATTACACGATCACTATAAATTATTTAATATTTATATATATTTATATAGTTATTGGTGTTTATTTACCCATTAGTTCTGCAAAGCCTCCAACAGGTACGCGACAGGTGCCTGTTACAAATTGTAAAAGTCGTGCTCGTTTTTCACTATCTGTTCTTGTTACAAACTAAATAAAATATGCAAATGTAATAATATGATATATTGCACATTTTAAAAATAATTTTGTTTTAAAAAAACACAATAACAAACCTGCCAGAACCATAAGATTTGTTTACTATTTCGTGTATAATGTCTATAAATTGTATTACGTTGCCAGTCTTCTACATCTATTTCTTGCATACCACAGAGCATCAGTTCTAGTTCACGTTCATCAAAATATTTTAACCATTCTAGTGGTACAACTGAATTGAAACCTTCCAGAAATGCTTTAGTTTGGTCCTCTATACCTCTTGTCATTCGCCATTCTGTCATTAACCTTGTATAGTAACATTCAATGAGTAATAATTTTTTAATTAAGATTTAAAATATTAGCTTACTATTAATTATAACAGTACCTAATATAATCCTCTTTGTTATCTTCAACAACTCTAATTTTGTCACCACCTTCTTTTAATTCATGATGTATGACTTGACCAAGAATTTCAAAATCCACACTATAATACAATTCAAGACCACATTCATCAATATTATTTTCTTTTATCCATACAAGAGATTTATAAAATTCCGGATCGATGGACTCTATATCTTTCATAACCAATTTCTTATTTAACATACGTTTATAAAACGGCATAGTGAAACCACTATAGATAAATCGTCCATGATAGAGAGCCTAAAAAAAAAATATATATATATATAATAAATTTTATTGATTTTATTAAATGTAATATTATTAATAGTAAAATGATCATACCATTGCTATAAATCTTCCAATAAATTTAAAATATTGTAAATGATCGGGATTAACATAAGATGCTGGATTGATTTGTAAACTGTAATTACTCTTATTGGCATATTCAAATAAACAGTACATTGGATTTAATACTTCATGACTCAACAAGAAGAACCATTCACTGAAATCAAAATTTATTTAATTTATTTTTATTTTTATAAAGTAATAATTTTTCCTAAATTATTGATTTAATGTTTACCTTGATACACCTCCATAATCTAACCCTTCTTCTCCTTTAAATATGATATATAATCTACGTCTTAACGCAAAAGCTTCTGCATTCATTATTTGATGATAAGAATCTTCGAATAATGTCTGTCGATTGACACTAATTTTTATATGATTCGGTAATGCATTAGTTTGACATAAGAAGCGAAATTGTGATAATTTCCATCGGAATGATCTTTCATATGCTCTTGGTACACGATAAATACCTTTAGGACTACATAAAAACATAATGCTAAAGAATATAATAAAAAAAAAAACAAAAAGATAAAAGTAGTTAATATTGATTGGAAGAAAGATACACAAACCCTTTAGGTGCTCCAGGTCTTGGATCCTGAAATGTTGTTGTTCTTGTATTATGATCTACAAAATATCGAACTCCATCTTCAGTTAATCGTATTTCCCAACCATCTGGTAATGGTGGTTCATCAATTCCAGTTTCTTGTCCTTGCGTTCTTGGATCTTCCCATTGTGTAGTACGATTTTTATGATTTACATAATAAACTCTTCCTTCTGGTTGTTTACGTCTTTCCCATCCAGCTGGTAATGGTCCCAAAGCATCATCGTCATCAACTACAGATGTTGAGGGTCCTGCTATAGCTGCTTGATTTCCATGCACCTATATGTACATATTATATTAAGTTTATTTCTAGACTACATTGTTAAATATTTATATTCTTAAAATTAAATGTAAAATTATTATGTTATATTATTATTACTTACTTGAGGATAAAGAAACCGTTGGTTACCTTGCTGTACCACATGCTGTCTTTCACCTTGCCAGTGTTGAAAATGTTGCAATCTTTCTGTATTTGGTCTTTGCCATGTTGTAGTTCTTGTATTATGATCTACATAATAAATTCTACCTCTTGGATCTCTACGAACTTCCCACCCTGGTGGCAAAGGTTGTGGTCTTTCCCAAGAAGTACTTCGTGTCTTATGATCGACATAATACCTAAAAATATATCATAATACCTTAAAAATATATCATATTATAATACCTTAAAAATATATCATAAAAATATATATTTATAATACCTTAAAAATATATCATAAAAATAAGAACAGACATATTTTCTAAAAATGCAAAAATTGAATAATTTTAATAACCTTCTGCCATAAATATCATATCTCATTTCCCAACCAGGAGGTAATGGCTCTTCAGAATGATTTGCAGGATCAACATCAGCAAGTACTAATGAAGATTCAGATTGAGTTGATTGACCAGGTATCATAGTAGTTTGTCCTGTTAGCGGAGCTACTCGTTGTATTACTCGAGGATTTGAACGAGTAGTCGTAGAATTTGTATACTGTTCAGTATGAGAAATTCTACGTGTTTCACCCATGGATAATATTGAAGATTGGTCTGAACGTGCGATTCCATGTCCATCTGTCATAAGAAACACTGTAGGTTGTTCTAAATGAGAACCATCTGGTAAAGTAAACATTACAGATTGCTCTGTTTGAGAATGTCCCTGACTATCAGTTAAACCAGAATTTCTAAACTGATCTACTCTAGAAACTATACATTCATCTACTAAAGGATTAGTATCTTGATCCGTTCTCATAGTTCCATAACTATCTGAAATAGGACCAGTAACTGATTCTGTTCGAGAATTACGTTCATTAGAAATAGATTGTTCTGTTCTATTATGTGAACATATGTCTGTATTAACAGTCAATTGATCTGATCTAGATATTCCAACTGTTCCAGGCAATACTGTTGATTGTTCAAGTTGAGAAATATTACGACTTTCTGAGACACAAACTTTTGGAAATTGTTCTGTACATGTACCAATTCTTCCATCTACTATACCAGATGTCGATACAGATGTTGATAAAGGTGCTGTAGATCGTCCTGACAATGTTACAATAGATTTGTCTGCAGGCGATATTGCATGTCCATTTGATAGTGAATTTGATGTAATAGAATCAATCTGTTCATTATTTTTGTTAGCATTGACTTGTTCACTTCCATTATTATAAGTAGAATTCTGATAAACACTTGTTAATGTTCCATGAAATGTAGATGATGCAACATGTTTAGCTTCATGCAATCTCATGCGAGCACGAATCCCTCCATTAAGAATGCTACTATTACTAACAGCATCATTACTTGAAACACCTAAAATACAATTATGTTTATACTTTAGAATATTATTCATATGAATTATTTTTATTGCACAAATATGAGCATTTACATGTATCATATTTGCATTTTCTAAATATTATTCATTTATTATAAATGGTTATTTATTTTTTATTACATTATTTTTTCATAAATACAATAATAATTATAAAATAATAATAAGAAAAGATAAGATGTTCTTTAAAATTCAGAATACCATGTGTAATGTCATAACTAGTCTTTAAGATTAATTATATGCTTGTTAATTGAAAACTCATTAAAAAATTATCATAAAATATTGTATATTGTATATGGTTTAACATGTAAAATTCTTATACTCTCTATTTTTATACTTATAATAGTTGCATAGAATGTACTACATGTTTAAAAAAATAAGCAGTAAAAAGTAAAAAGAATAAAAGACATTTTGAATACTCATTATGATAAAATTCAAATAGTGCAAATGTTATGTATAAATTAGTTTTATTTATTTATTTAAAGACCATTATTTTATATTTTTAATTATTCGCTTCATATAAAAATGTTTAAAATATATACTTTTGTTCTTTAATAAGTATGAAATATAACCAATGCACTATTTAAAAACATTAGAAAAATCATTGTTATTTTCTTAAAAAGAAACTTCTTCAATATTTATTATGTAAAAAAATTGAAGAAATTATTAAATATCAAATACATTTTGTAACAATTTTTAATATTTTTTTTAAAAAACATTTTAAATTTGATTGTTTATAAACTACAACAAAAATGCTTCATCAAATTTAATTATGAACTCTGTGTGAAAATTATTTATTTTCTATGATTTTCCAAATTCAGTTTTTGAATATTTTTAGTTTTAATATTTTTAGTTTTAATACTTTTTTTAAATACTATATTATTTAATGGTATTCATAATTTATCATTATTAAACAAATGATATACTTTTGATCTTGCATAATTTTAAAATATTTGCTTTTACTAATGTAAAGGAATTTGTTTACCAACATACATGATAAAATTTGTTTATAATGTACATATCTGTTTTAATGTGATTTTATTTGTGAAAAATTTGAAATCTTTATTTGTGCATATATGTATCTTATAATCTTATAATCAAAATCAATCTTATTTCTATTTTTGATATAAAAAGTAGTATATGCTTAATTTTAGTTTCTTACCATCAAAAGGCATGCAAACAGATTGTGTCTGACATGATGGTGATTCATTAATAGCTAATGATGATGTATTTGGCATATTGATTCTTAATCCATCAAATATTGTAATTAGTTCTCCAACCTTACATAGCTGAGAATCATGTTTATTTTCACTCATTAAATCAAATGTTACTTCCATATTTTCTAATTTTCCATTATAATAAGATAATACTTGAGAAAGACTTATTTTCTTTTCTCCAATTAAAGTATCTTTTCGAAATGTACTGTGATCTAACAATCGAAAATGTAATTGAGAATATGGAGTTACAAGTATTGTAAATTCCTCATTCCATTTTGGTTGATATGTGGATTTTGAAACTTCTGTCTTCCGAGGACTTTTATCGTCAACAGAAAATTCTATGTAAGGATTAGGCTTTAGAAACGTAGAACTTCTTAATATAGCACCTTCAACTAAAATAGCAAAATTTTAATACAAAACATTATAAATATATAATATATTAATATTAATTACATATTTTTCTAATATTTCTTATTTGTAATCTCAATAAAACTATATTATGTTATATATAACTATAATTGTTAAATCTTTAAAAATAATTATCAATTTGTATATAAATATGCAAACATTAATTTTACACATACATATATGTATACATTACACTTAAATAAAAATATAAAATATTTTTTAAAGAAAACTTACTTGTAATGCTTAATTGGTGAAAACCAGATGATGCTACTTCTTCTTCACAATGAGACATTGTATCCAATTTAATTTAATTCAATATAATTTTTGAGAATTCATAATTTTTTTACTATTTATATATAAGTTTTATCTGTAATGTTTTATAATCTTAATAATAGAATTGAACTTAATAATAAAATGAATATATTTATTATTCAATAAAATACATATTAATAAAACTATAAAAATAATTTAGGATAATGCTAAAATATGTAATGGACATAATTATCATTATATTAGAACAAAGGAGATATATAAATTAAATTGAATTATATTACATTATAGTATATACGTACAAATTCAATTATACTACATTAATATATAAATTATCAAAATAAAAATCTATTTTAGACATTTTATGATGTTAATAAACACATAACATGTTAAAAAAATGCATTTATATAATTATTAGTAAATATACACATTATTGAATAAATACAGTGCAATACGATTTATAAAAAAAACTTCATAATGTTTTACTAAAAACACATTATTAATATTGATATCCTTTCTATCAATCAAATAGTAAATTACTTAAATGATTATAACACATACAGAAGTATTTATCATAAATTGTTGTAAGTGTATCCAACTCCAATGCATTGCCTAGTTTCAAAACTATCAACATTTGTATGATGGAAAAGATTCTTCAACAGATATAATTTTTATCACAGAATTTCTTTATCAGTAGGTCACCATCTTTTCACACATCAAAGGTAGGAATCTTTTATAATATGCAAATCACTAGGTATAGCATGTGCATGCGCGCGCATATGTTATGTATTTTTCTCACAGAAAATGTTAACTATATCATATTCCTATTTCAAATTCCCTAGAATTTAATAATAAGTATAAAATATAAATTTACTAACAATAAAACAATAGTACACGAACATATAGTAATAAAATTTTTTCATATTATTTATTATTGAAATAAAATATTTAATAATATATATAAAATATAAGAAAACATTCAAATTAGAAGTAGGTTTAATTTCCTTTTTTTTTAGTTTTATGCTTACATTATTTTTTACTAGAGGATGACACTAAGGATAATTTTCTTCTTATGTTCCAAAATTTATGCTTGAATAATTATTAAAATATATTTACCTTATTATATCATTAAAATTATTGTCAAAACAAAATAAAATATTACTTTATATTTAATAAAATGATGTGTATGATGTGATTAAAGAAATATTTAAAAAAATAAAAATAATGTTCGTATTATAAGAAACTATTTAAAAATATTATGAAAATAAATATAAAATTTATCACATTAGATTTTTCCAAGTTTCTAACAAAAAAAAATTTTTGATAATATTAGAAATTTTTTCTTCATGAAAACATAACCTAATAACATGCTAACTAGTAAAATAATTCCATATGGTGTAATAGACTGTGTATAAACTATAATTTTATTAAACTTTGAATATTGAGCTTACGTGGCGAAAATTCAAGAAATCGTAACATTTTCATTGTTCATTTTCGTTTGATATTCAAAGTTCAATAAATTGGTGAAAAAAAATTATACAATAAATGTTGAAGGATTGTCATAAAGAGGTTTTAATTTTTAAATCCATTGTAGATTCAGTCATGAAAAAAAAATTTTCAATATTTTTACACACTGATTTTTACACATGATTGATAATATATAGTATTTTGGAAAAGAAAAATATTACTTTCCCATCTGTTACTTATTCTAAAAATATCTCAAAATAAAATGAACGATGCATGTTAAAAATAAGGGCTTCAAGTTTTAAAATGAGTAAATTTATTATTATACAATTTCTTTTACAAAATTACGATGGTTAGGTGTTCGAAATTTAAGAATATTTAAAGAGAATGTCCGACTATTTAAATATTCAAATGGAAGTCACTCCACGTGGTAGATTGGAACGTTATTTAACAAATTGATTGTAGAAATATGCAAGACTGTAAAAAATATTATTTGACTATTGGTAAATATCTAACCAAATTCAAACCCAATTCGAAATACGTGAAGGTGTTACTAAAAATTCTAAGATAAGTATATTTATTAAATAAATAAATTTAAATTAAAAGCTTTAATTTGTGTACAAAACAAAACAGAAACGTGGCTGTGTATACATATATGCTCATGTATATATTCATCATAGTGGTACCGTCAGTTCTTCGCGATTATTTCGGAAATTGGGAGAAACGATGTTTTTGTCAAAGAAGGAAGTTGTTCGATTTCTATAACATCAATTTTGTGAAAATCAGAGATACTGCCCGAATTTTGTAATTACAACGTTTTAATTACAACGAGATATATCATATGTGTCTATAGTTTTAGAATATAAAAAATATTATTTAATATAATTATATTTATTTTACATTATATTACTTTCCTTTTATATTTATTTTACGTTATATTACATTATTTAATGTACTATCGAGAATGGAAAGACTGTTAGTAGCAAATATTAATTAAAATAAATTTAGTTGGTAATTTCTAAAGTAGACATTTTACTTGATAATATTTCTTATGATAATTCAAAAGTACTTAGTAAATATAGATTAGTTAGCGATTAAAATAATTATCAATAACACTTATATGAAATCAATAAATTTGTTATTAAAATTCTTTTATTCATTGTATTTTATTCATTGTCCAAAATTACATACTGCATGGTACTTCATAAAATTAACGCTACGAGGAGTCGCAAACTGTGGCAATTCATACACTGCGACAATGCGTGTAAGGCAGTGTCGTCACACCATTCTTTCTAAAAGGTTAAAATTGTTTTAATAATTTTACAAGAGAAGAGAAAAAAAACGAGAAAGAGATACAGTAAGAAAAAATGTATACTAAATACTAAAATAATGCTTACCTTATTAACTAGTTAGCCTATTAAATAGTTAACCTATTTACTCAATAAATAGTTAACCTATTTAGGTTATACCTAATAATGAAATAAAATTTAATTAAAGAAACAGATAATTTTTAATAATTATATAAATTATAATTTTTTTAGGTAAATTATAATGAAGTTTACACAATTGTTATACAAACAACATATAGGTAAAGCAAAGAGATATGTATGGCAACATCAACGAGAAAGAAAAATAGTAGTGAGCAAAGCAGAAGAAATTTTAAAATCTATGAAATTTATAGTACAAGATGCTACAGAATTCATATCAAACCAAAGTGCTTTGCACAATAGCAAAATGTAAGATTTGTTATTATATTTAATTTATTGTATTAACTTATTTTAATATATTTTTTTGTATTTTATGATTTTATTTCATAAAATTTTTGGAAAACATTATTTTATATCATAAACAATAAAAGATTAGTAACATACTTATATTTAGTTATAAATTAGGTTATTAAATAACAATTAATTTTTAAAACTAATATATAAGAGTAAAGAGTATTAAATATCTTATTAACAAAATGTTAATTTTATAACACTTTATTTTGAAAAACATTAATATTAACATAATATATTTATTTTTTAATAATATATATATAATTATATATATTTTCAAATATTTTTTATTATTTGTTTTAAATTTGAAAATTTTTTGAATTTTAATAGTTAAGTGAACTATTGAAGACATTGCAGTTTTGTTTGATTTTAAATTAATATTAGATATATCACATATATATTAATTGCAATTATATGTTAACTTCATTGTTGCAAAGGAACATTTCTATTCCAAGTGTTTTAAGTTATAATTGAAAATTCACTTGAAAGTTAAAATTAGAAAAATATTTTAAATTTTCTGAAATATTTCTACTTGAAAAAATTCTACTTAAAATTTAATGCTTCTTACAGCATAATGATACATTATACGAACTTGTTGAGAGACAATTAATTTATGTATAATTGAAGTTCATATGTTAAGAATTTATTCATTTTGTTTATTATTTATTATTTTTCCATCATATAATAATAACTCATGGATTCAACTAGTACAAGTTCACTTAATCAGGCAATATCTAAAATTTTATTTAAATAAATTTAAATAAATAGTTTTGCTGCATTTTAATATTATAAATATTACTAATAATAATAGATAAAAATTTAAAAAAACTTCAAATACCTGTGAGAGATTTATTAAGTATTTAGTTAATTAAATAATGAGGATTTAACCATGTAAATAATATATTCCAATAAGATTAAAATAAAATATTGAAATAAGAATCAGTATTTAATTATTATTTAGTGACAAATATTATTAAATATTTTAGAAAGAAAATTAATAATTCAATAAGATTATTTTATTTTTGTATATATGTTATTAATCTTTATTCATTTGAATGATTTAACATTTATTTGTAGATTAAGGACAACATGTCGTTAATTTGTAACTATAAGCTTTCTATATATGTATATATATTTATTTATAATTATACTACAATTATTAATTTGTAGCTATAAGCTTTCTTTATATGTATATTTTTTTTTTTGATATTAGGATTGAAAATTCAATTGCTGTTAAAGAGTCAATTTTGGATGTGAACAGTAAAAATTATTTGACATTTGAAGATCATAATGTTTTACAAGAAGGTGTACCACAAGCATTATTATTAACAAAAACTGTCAAACTTAATAATGAATTACCAGAGAAAATACAAAAGCTAATTACTGACATTCCAAAAAATATAAATAATTTATCAAAAAGGTTTGTTAATAAAAAAATGTTATTATATTTTATATAAATTTATTAAAATTATTGAATTTGGAATATATAATAAAATTTAGATACTTAATTTAAATATTATTTTAATTATTCAGATCTGTTTATACATCTATGATATATGATGCACAACAAGTAAAATTATCAAAACTAAAAGATTCTGATCGACCTGCTTGGGTATTTCCAAGGGTATATGGTATAACTAGTACAAGAAAAATGTAAGTATGAATCATTTGTATAATTATATATATATATATATATATTAAATATATATATATATAATTATTTTATATTTTTTAAAGTTTAAATTTCAGTTCTATAATAAAAGATATGTTGTAGGCAGAACCTATCAAAGAAATTTCTACAACTTTGTGAATCATTGTGTGGATTAAATGATGCACAATACAAATCAGTAATTCATGATGGTCTTTTATCTGCGTGTATAGGTATATTAAAAAATAAGTCTAAAATATACATCAAAATTTATACATTATAAATATTGTATATTGTGATATATTGATATTTTTAGTGATTATGCAAAACAATAACATTAAAACAAAACATTTAGTTCAATGTTAAATATTTAATTTCTTAATTTTCATTTCTATTAGAATATATTTAAATTAATTATTATATTTGAATTACTAAAATTAATTATTACATTTTATTTAATTCTTAATATTTTTATATGTCAACTATTATGATGAAGTTGTACTAGAATTTGAAAGTGGAATAATCTATACACACATTTATAATAGTACTTAATATAACAGTACTTAATATGTATGCATGTTACAACTATTTTGCAGTTTATAAATCAACTCTATATTTAATTTTTATCTCAGAAACTGTTTATCATATTGGTTGCTTTTAATTGTAGTACAGAAAATTCGTATAGATTAAAATGAAATTTTTTACATTAAAAAATTAATTGAAATTTAATATTGAAAATTTTAAACAAACTCTTATTTTGTAAATTTCTTTTTAAATATTCAGAGTCTAAAGATTGAAAAAAAAAGATCACTGAAGTTTTAATTAGAAAGCAAATTTAAACTTAAAAAAAATTTTTAAAGTTTAAAATTAGCGACAATTAGTTGTAGATAAGTAAGCCGCGTGCTCAACTTACAGTTACGCAATAATATTATTTATGCCCGTCAAGAAATGATACGGATTATTTAAAAAGTTATGAGACTTTTTTTAGATTACTTTAAAATTAATCTATACAAATTAAGAGAACTCCTTTTATATAAATTCCATTTATGTTGATTGAATCCACTTATTTGAATCTGTATTCTTGTTATATAAACGAAAAATTATTAATAAAGAAAAGAATCAGTAGACTTCTATTAATTTAAATTATATAATAATTATATAATAATTATGTGTTAATTGCCTCTTGACAAGTATTATATTAATTCAAATTATGTAAATTATCTTTTGATAAGTTCATATGAATTCATATTATTCATTTTCAAAATTCGTAATTTGAGACTTTATATATTTTAGGAAAAGAAGACAATTTTCTAAAGTTTTCCTTAAAAATGGATATAATGATGATGTCATCAATACCTCTAGCACCAATAGCTGATGTAAATATGGATAATAATTTTGATGTACCTGATCTTTATCCACTACATTATACTATTGGTTTATCTAGAGATAAGTTAGATAATATAATTAGTAGCAGCAAAATTTTATATCGTAAGTTGATTATAAGTTACATTACAAGTTAATTAAAAGTATTATAATCTTAAATTATAGTTTGTAAGTTATAATTATAAAATTTAAATATATATATATTAACATTGTAGCACTTACTATGGACTCGCCATTTATGAATGTTCATACTATCTTTATAAATCACAATCCAGAGGAAGTTAAAAATTTAACTGACTTGCCAGTTACTGAAGATCAAATTCATGCACGTTCAATGATAAAATCATTTGGTGCAGCAGCAATTTGTGCTCAACAAAAGTTTGGATTAAGTGTGAAGGAGTTACCAGAACCTATTGTTGTACAATGTATTCAATCGGATGGACAAAATTTTCATTTTTCTGTGTATCAACTTAATACTTTAGATATAGATGGCAAAGAAGGAATTAAAAATTTTTGGTGGTCAGAACCATCAATAAAATTATATGAACAAGCTCTATATAAAAATGGACAATCTTGTCTTGAAGGCTACAATAGTGATGTTTTTAAAAGATATCTTGCATTTTATAAAAATAAATAAAATAATATA